TTCATGGACATGGCGTACATTCCCAGTAAGGCGTGAATCATTGGTTTGTGCCTTATTTTCAGCTTCGGATCGCTGTAACAGATCTGCAACGCTTGAGCCGTCTGTAAACCATAACAATGTTATATTAAATGCATATCTCTATCGTATATCTCAATAGTATACCTCTTTAATGGCAAGAGTTCTGTTTCCCATAACGAGCCGACACATAGCTATGTGCTCAAGAAGTAACAATTGAAATGTGTTGAGCATCGGGTGAGTGCCTACAGCTGCAAAAAGTGGTAAAAAGGGTATCACTTAATATTACTCAAATTGACCATCAGTTATATTGACATACCTTTAAGCTTTTCGATTTGCATGAGAGCCTTTTCGGTGTACTTCTGTGCCTTATCCATATACCCGGCTTGCATTGAGTGCAATACTGTCACCTAACATACCAAACATTATAATCAATGATTATTAATCATTGAAACAACTACGGTATCAGTTTTAACAACAGACCAGATATACGAGAACACACATGTGCTCTCTCGGCATCCATATGAACATATCGTTGGGATTAACGTTCACGTAATCTAATTGTCAAACCATACAAATCAGTCATATATAATAAAATTGTCTGCAATGCATGTATTAAATCATACCGTCTTCGCTGTGATAAGCAGTTATGCTTTGAATGCTTTGCTGTAAAAGCTTTAGACACGGCTTAACGCTCTTAACCTATAATTAAATATTTGTCCATAAATATTGATAATACGCTTAAGCAATATAGAGATGCGTTCAAAAAGCACTCACTTGTCCGGCATTCAAGTGATGGCAAACTTGAAGCACAAGAAAGTAAACTTTAAGCGCTTCTTTCATCTGAAGGTTTCCATTCCAGGTCTCGACTAACTGTCCCGCGAGACTCAACACTGGATGCACTTCCGAGAGGCGTCTGTCAATCATTAATGTCATTCCTTTGCTCAATAGGAACAGTATTCGCGTGTAATGAGCGCCAGACATATTGGCGTAATCGGCGCCTATACTCAATATATTAGATGCCGCCCCATAGTCCTTCTCATCGACGTGCATTTGCTACAAATGTAATACATTTTTATTACTATTGATATTTTAACAAAATACTAGTTTCATTGATCAAATACAATCATGCATCATTTTCTTGGCAAATATACAATTTAAATATCGTTTTAATTAACACATCATTTAAATTCATATCTGGTGGTCAGTATTGGTAGCGTTTAAATATGACCATATCATAACATTAGCGCTCAATATATTATTCACAAAATACTAGTGTTTTAAAGCAATTCAAACCAACTGTATTGACAATATAGTCATGTCATGTAATGTTTATATTTTTATTATAATTACATTATTTGTAACCAATTTGAGTGAAAACTTACGGCCAATTGAAAGAGTAGTCTTGAGTGCCAATAGATCCAGTGCTGCGATTCATCGATAGCTTTGGTCAGAATCTGCTTCGAATGGTTCATCTCATTCTGGATTAGCGAAGACATCAATCATTTGATACGAATTAATGGCAATAATGAGGGAATCGTATAATAAATACCTTTTTCTCGTAAACCATAGCGAGAAGAGAAGCCGATTCTAACTTTAATTCTTCACAATTAGGCACTGATTGCGATAAATACCACTAAATATAGTGACAAACAATGAGACAATCGTTAATTAACTCTAATATGAGATGTAATGGGAGTGAAGACAAACCGCTTTCTCGAGATGTGATTGACTTTTATCTAAATTAGTGGTGAAATGAAGTAAAATATTTCCCAAATGAAGATGAGTTTTGGCTTCAATTGCTGGATGTGTTGACACATTAAGCGATGCCAACAAACACTGGACACAAGACCTCATGTCGGGAGGAGTCTGTGTCCGGAACTCCTCTGCCATTGACATCAAAGCCAAATAACAGCTCTGATTGTCGTTTGTATTCATAGAAGACATCTCCGGAAGTAAACTCTTCTTCTTATAATCAAATCAATTGACAAATGTTTGCAATTTTCACAACATTTTCAATCAATTGTATAATTAATGCATTAATTGTCAAAACATTTCATCAATTGTTGAGTCAAACGGGTCTTCATTTTGTGAGTAGAGGTCTCTTCAGTTCATTCACTCAGCAATGTTTGTCTCCTATTCTCAATATACGTTACGCCCTCTACTCACTAGTCGTGACTAGACTGACCACATTCATTTGGTATAATTCGCAACTTTAAGCATAAATGTGTCTTAAATTGGTGAATAATTAAATATGTATTATATAACGTACATCCCATAGAAGTGCACATCCCATAGACTTTATGTTAAAAATATTTCTCCAGACTTGTAAATACGGTCTCAATTGTAGACAATCAAGTGATTGGTGAACATGTGGTCGCTCTAGTGGTGACCCCCATTCCCGTGAATGGCTCTACACCTCTACAACACATTGAATTGAATACACGATAATAGCGTTGAATGTGTTTTGAAAGCAATTGAATTGGATTTGAAATTGTAGTCAACTTGTATTGAAACACTTGTTTTGATTGCATATTGACTTCCATTAGGAGTAGAGGAGAGCATAGGTATGGATGTGGACGAGCTCTTGAACTACAAGACCTCCACATCGGATGACATTCACACCAATGGGTCGGATGAGCATCAGTCCAATGAAGCCAAGAGACCGGCGCTGAAGAGGAAATTGAGCGAAGAGTTGGATGAGTCGGATGTGACCGCCGAAGCCGTTGAGGCAGAAGTGGACGAATCGGCTCTCAAACGACTTCTCTTGCATTTTGAACGCCGAGTGCTTAAGAATCAAGAATTGCGGATCAAATTTGGTGACAATCCGACCAAATTCATGGACTCGGAGATGGAGTTATTCGACACATTGCAAGAAATGCATGTCTTGAGTACTCAACCAGAACTCTATCACATTATCGTTGACCTCAATATAATCCCAACACTTCTGGGACTTCTGTCCCACGAAAACACCGACATATCGTGTGGTGTCGTCGCTCTCCTCCAAGAGCTCACGGATTTGGATGATATCCAAGAACTGAATGATGTGAGCCTTCTATTGGATGCCTTACTCGGCGGTCAAGTGATCTCTCTTTTGGTGACAAATATGGAGAGATTGGACGAAACGGTGAAAGAAGAAGCCGAAGGAGTTTACAATTCATTAGGTTTGGCACCGATTCTAATATTACTGACCATTCATTTCTTGGTCTTTTTTATAGGGATTATAGAAAATTTGACTGATTTTAAGCCAAACCTCAACAATGACTGTCAATCTCTGATCTCTTGGACAATGAAGCGATTGAAAGCCAAACCATCTTTCGATGGCAACAAACTCTATGCTTCAGAAATACTATCGATTTTACTTCAAAGCAATGCCGACAATAAGAAGTTGTTGAGTGAATGCGATGGCGTCGACACTTTGCTTCGTGTCATTTCGGTCGGTATTTTGATCCCATTTTATCACTTATTGATTATTTGTATTCTTAAATGTTATAGTATTACAAAAGACACGACCCGTCGTCTAGTGATGAACACGAATATATGGAGAATCTGTTCAACTGTTTGTGT